AAAAACACAAAGATCTATTATAAAAAGAGATTGTTAATGATTTTTCAGCTGATGATGCAATTAAGTCCTTCTAGGTTTTGAAAGCAAAGATTTAGAAACCTCCTGCTTGAAAACAAAAAGAATCTGTTGTCCAGCTTTTGAGCCATTCATTTCCTCAGCACCCACAGGCACCACCAGCATTGCAAATTGTTGCTTTGTTTAGTGTTCCAGGGCGTTTACCCCTCTGGGTAGTCCGCCATTGAAAGATAGTGGGTGAGTGAGTGGTGAACCTTGTTACTGAAAGTAGGTTATGAAGGAGGGAAGCAGTTTTGGTAGAGGGAACGCTTGGAAGTTGAGGATCTGCACACTGATTTTCTTAAAATTCTTTGTACCCTAGAGACACCGCACTCCAATTAGAGGACAATTGATCCTCCTAGTCGATATCCAGAATCCATATTTCTTGTGCTCACAGATGTGTTATGCTTCTTTCTACTTACCTTGTTTCCATGTTCTCCTGCTTTCCTTCCTTTTTAATGTTTTTTACTGTTTGCTTATTTTTGAGAGAGAAAGAGACAGAGCATGAGTGGGGGAGGGGCAGAGAGAGAGAGGGAGACACAGAATCTGAAGTGGGCTCCTGGCTCTGAACAGTCAGCATAGAGCCTGACGTGGGGCTCAAACCCACAAACCGAACCGTGAGATCATGGCCTGAGCCAAAGTCGGATGCCCAATGAACAGAGCCACCCAGGCACCCCTCTTGCTCTCCTTTCTTATTAAAAATTTTAAGGGCCGGGGTGCCTGGGTGTCACAGTTAGTTAAGTGTCCAACTCTTGATCAGCTCAGGTCATGATCTCAAGGTTCATGAGACTGAGCCCCGAGTGGGGCTCCACACTCTTAGCAGAGATTCTCTCTCTGCCCCTCCCCTTCCCCTGTGCACGCGCTCTCTCTCTCAAATATATAAACTTAAAAAGAAAAGTAGGGGCGCCTGGGTGGCTCAGTTGGTTAAGCGGCCGACTTCGGCTCAGGTCATGATCTCGCGGTCCGTGAGTTCGAGCCCCGCGTCGGGCTCTGTGCTGACAGCTCAGAGCCTGGAGCCTGTTTCAGATTCTGTGTCTCCCTCTCTCTGATCCTCCCCCGTTCATGCTCTGTCTCTCTCTGTCTCAAAAATAAACGTTAAAAAGAAAATTAAAAAAAAAAAAGTAAAAAAGTTAAGAGCCATTGTGAATCCCAGTTCCTACCTAATGCTTCCCTTTCTTCTGAATTCCTGAATTGTACTGCACTTAGAGTTTGAACCTCACTTCCCATCCCTGAAATACGTATCATGCTATACTGGTAGTTTTGTTTCATGGCACTTTACATAGACTATAATGAAGTTCCTTGCAGTAGAGTTTGGGGTACTGGCAAAAGATTTGAACTTTGATATCAGACAGCACATAAGCTACAGGAGGGCAGGGACTCTCTCTTGTTCTGTGCCCTATAGGCAGCACCTAGCATGATATAGGAGCTTAACGAATAATTCATTGAATAAATGAATGGGCTTGAGTTTGAATCTTAGCTACTTTATCACTTTTAAGCTGTGTGACACCCATTCATTTTAGAATTTAATTATTCAACAAACACTGTTGCATGTTTGCTAAGAGCCAAGCACTGTACTAGGCACTGGGGACGTAAGTTGAAGAAGATACGTCCATGCCCTGAAGGAACTCATGCATCTAGTTATGAAGGCTGTTATGTGAAGTAAGGTGGGAAGGGCAGCCAGCGTGCAGGCCCAGGGGAAGAAAATGAGAGAACTGTTAGCAGATCTGTAAAGCAGAGGCATAGGAGGCTTTCCTGGGCCTCATGTGCCACATAAGGGAATGTGAATTTGACTTGACTGATTAGATATGGGGCAAGATGAAAAAGGAGTCAAAGGTGAGCAGGCAGGAGAATACAAAGGCCTTAGGTTAACCACAGCAGCAGCCACAGTGGCCATAGACAGGGACTGAAAGCTATGAGAGAGTAAAGCAGAACCTACCACATTTCATGATGGTTTTGCACGAGGGGGATGAGAGGAAAGGAGCATCTTAGATTCCCGTATCTCTGCCTTGGGTGACAAGGCCAGTGAGTCAAATAATACGGGAAAAGAAGCAAGTTTGGAAGGCTTTGGGCAAGTTGTCTGACCTCTCTGAGCCTCAATTTCCCCACCTGTAAAATGCAAATAATAACATCCACCTCTCAGGGTTGCCATGAGAATTAAATAACAGGGAAGTTGTGGGGCATAGAATAGATGCTCAGTAAACACTTTTGGGTGATACTAATAATAGTCCTTGCTCATGTGCCAAGCACTTGATCCTCACAACAACCCTATAAGTTACATCTTATTATTATTCCTGTTTTACCAACACAGGAACTGAAACACTGTGAGGTGAACAAACTTGACCAAAGTCACCCAGTTGGTAAGTGGCAGAATGTACTTTCCTAGCCACTGCACTCCACTCACTCCTGAGACTTATAACTGGACTTGAGGAAGGAAGAGAGGACGTGGCAGGAGAGATGGACGGCAGACCTGATCAAGGATTCACTCCAAGGGCAGTTTTTATTTAGAAACGTGCCTCTACAGCTTGGTGGCAGTCTGAGGGCACATGCCGCTGGCTTGCTTGCTTGTTTGGTCTCTTTTCCAGCCCAGGGCATAGGGTCCTTGGGGTTAAGGCACAGGATCAAGTTCTCAAGGATCAACATCCCAGACAGCCTCAGTGGTCAGGGGTCTGGGGCTGGTGCCCAAAATAAACAAGGCTCCGTTCTAGACTGTTTCATGGTTAGAAGGCCTGGGCTCCTGGCACCAGGTCCTCAGCTCCCTCTTCTGCAGGGGTTGACATCACCCACAGGCCAGCTGTGGCCAGGTTCTGGTGGGTATGAGGTTGGGGGGTGGGGAAGGGGATAGCAGAGGCTAATTTTCTGGCGATGGGTCCAGTTTATCTTCCTGGGGGGTGGAAGCCGAGATGGGAGCCTCATCCCCACCGTTGAGGGACTTCAGCTGCTCACTGCTGCTGGGTGAGGGGGTCCTGTTGCCCTGGGATCCCCAGCGGGTCAGGCGCTTTAAGGAGGAGTCACGGCGGGCAAGTGGAAGGGGCTGGAAGCCTGTGAAGGAGCTGCTGGTGGTGGGACGCTTGTCTGGCAGAGAAAAGGCAGCCGTGAGTAAGGAGAAAGGTGCGTGCAAAGGGGACAGGTTGAAGGGCCTTGCCTCAGTCCCTGGGGTAAAGGAGAACCTCCTGACCTTTGATCCCCTGCAGACTCTGTAGATCTGGAGGTATCCCTTTCTCCTTCCTTTCCCTCTCCCCACTCCAGAGAAAGCTCCAGGGTCTACCCCTTCTCACCTCCGGGCTCAATTGGATGCATGAGTCGGTTCATCTGAACATTCCAGTGTTTCACATTGGTGCTGGCCTGGCGCAGCTTCTTCTGGGCAGCCTGTGGGGGACAGGGCCAATGGGGAGTGGGTCAGAGACCCATTAAACGGACCATCCTAAACAGGGTGCCTTGACCTTTTCAGGTTTGCAGGCCCCTTAAAATCTGACAAAGGCTATTATTGATCACCTCCCCAGAAAAACTCACGCAGGTTCATAAAGAGTGAGATATGTGAACAGAGTTAGCTTCCAGTTTCAGGGGTCTCGTGGGTCCCCAAAGGGTCAAAAATAATCATAATTATGGTTTCCATTCATTAAGCAGCTAAGATGTGCAAAGCATATTTATTATTTTAGTTAACCTCCAGAGCAGAGGCGAACAACAAGGAAGGGCAAAAGAGGTTAAAGTGACTTGCCCAGGGACCGACGTTGACCACCGCACCACACCACCTCTGCAGGACCTAATGCAAAAGCTCTGCTCCACTGCTCACCCAGCCATTAGCAGTGGTTGTAGGGTGAGGGAACCACGGAGGAACTTTCCCTTTCCATGGTACATATTTCTGTGTTCAAATTTTTTACTATGACCATGTCGACCAACAAAGCGAATAAAATGACATTAATAAGAACATCAAAAATTGTAAAAGAACAACAACGACGATGATGACATCAACCCCTCTTCCATGGAGATTAGAGCCAAGGTATAGGGACAGCAAGGGAGGGGCTTGGAAGAGTATGAGAACATTTTGCGCAGATCAATAACCATGAAGCAAATAGCAGCTAATGTTCCCTCCGCACTTGCTACATGCTAAATACCACATATCATCTCCTTTGGTCTTCATAACAATGCTGTTACCGGTCCCCTTCCCCAGGTGAAGGACTTGAAACTCAGAAAGGTCAGGCAACCGGCCTGAGGCCACACAGCCAGGAAGGGTTTCAGGGTTTTCGGGGTTTCAGGGAAGGCTCCGGATCCTGCGGGTTCAGGCGCTCACCCCGCCCGCCTCCACCCTCTGCCACCGCGGGCCTCACCTCCACGTCCTCGTCGGCCCTCTGCCGGTTCTGCCGCACCTCCTCCAGCTGCTGCTGGGCTCGCTGCAGGGAGCGGCTCTGCAGCGCCATCTCCTGCTGCAGCTCTTGCTTCTCCTGCTGCGCCCGCTCGATGTAGCGCTCCTGCTCCTCTTTCAGCTGCAGCAGCTGCTTCAGCTTCTCCTCCTCCTCCTCCAGCAGTCTGCCGGGCGCACACTGTGTCGTCTCCACGGCCGAGGCACCTCGCGGGTGCCCCGCCAGCGGGACGCTGGGGAGTCAGGGAGGGGAACCAGGAGGGGTCCCGCTCAGTCCTACCTGGTCTGGGCTAGGCGCACAGCCTCCTCATCCCGCCGCGCTTTCACCTCCAGTTGCAGGGCCTCCTGAAGCCTCTGCTGCATCTCCTCCAGCTCTTGGATGCGCTGCCGCTGCCGGGCAGCCTCCTCCTTCTTCAGTTCCATCTCAGCTTGCATGGAGGCCCGGGCCTGCGCGGGGACACAGAGCCGCGTCCATGGGGGCACGGCGTGGGGCAGGGAAGGCCGCCGGTAGGCTGCCCTTTCCCCAGGGCTCCGCTAGGCTGGCCCAACTAGCTGTCTCCCGGTGAGGGTCTGGGGGGGCTCCTTCATGTTGGGGTTTCCTGATCTGAACCCTTTCCAGGAGCCTGACTAGGTCAGATAATGGTCAGTGAACAGAGGCTACATGGGGGAAAGGGGCTCGTCACCCCCTGCCTAGCACCAGCCTTAATAATCAGTATTATGTCCTATTAATATTAGGCATTATAACTGTAATTAAGGCTAGTACTAGGCAGGGAGTGACTATAATTATAATAATTGTTGTAACAACTAAAGGTGTTCCTTCACTTGATCCTCACCATACCTCTAAGAGCACAGTTCTGTTAGCACCAACATGTCACTGATAAGTAAATGAGGCACAGAGAGCCTAACTTGCCTGAGATCACGAGGCTCCTAAGGGGCAGAGCTGGGATTGAATCCAGGTGTCTGTAACTCCAGTTCTAGATCTCTTAAATCCTATATCTAATTCACCTACATGCCTATCCGCCTCCACATTCGTCCCTCCTTCCTCCCATCCTGCGTTCCCCGAACTGGTTCCACTGTAAACTTAGATCAAATGTAGTCCAATCTAGTCCAGCGTTGGTCCAAACTCATCCCCAACCGCCGTCTTTAGTTGCTCCGCTGTCCAAGCCCCGCCTCCAGCCCAGGCGTTCGAATTCTACACCTGTAGCACTCAGCTCCAGCCCCACCCCGTCTTCCATCTCCAGCCATCACTTGGATAGGTTCCTCCTGCACTCCCACCCCTTATCCCGCCCCTGGCACTGGCCCTGTCCCATACGCTTGTTTCATTCAGGTGCACAGGCTCTGTTCCTAGGCCCTCATTCCAAGCCCCGCCTCCACGCACCTCCTTCCCCAGCCCGTGGGCTCCGCCCCCGGCCCAGGCCCCGCCCCCGGCCTTCAGCTCTCTAGCCGGGTCTCCCAGCATCTCTCTGCCCGCTGTCCCCCGCCGGGTGCGGTCCCCACCTGCTCCGCCTCGCGCAATTGGCCCTCGAGGGTCTGCTGCAGCTCGCGGTGCTGGCTGCGGCGTCGCTCCTCCTCCTCCTGCAACAGGCGCTCGGCTTGCCGCTGCGCCTCCTGTAGCAACTCCAGCTCCTGCAGCTTCCGTTCCTTCTCCTCCTGCAGCTGCTGCAGCCGCAGCAGCTCCTCCTCCTTGGCTGCCCGGCGCCGCTCCCGCTGCTCCCGCTGCTCGCGCCGCTTCTGCTTCAGGTCCTTGTGCAACGACGTCTTCCCCTCCGCCTGCAGCCGGATCGCGGTCTGGATGGCTGCGGCGGGAGAGGGAGGGGGTCAGCAGAAGGCTAGCCGGGGGCAGCGGGGTCCTCGAGGTGGTCCACCTCCGGAAAGGGGCCTTAGGAGTTGCTCGAGTCAGTCTCCGGCCTCCCGCTGGACAGTGTTACCACCCCCTTTTCACTAAGGAGGCGACCCAAGCCAGCCGGCGGCGAGCACTCACCAGCTGTCCATTCCTGGCGCTGGCGTGTGTCTGAGGCGCTCATCTCGTACGTTCGGGAGGCTGTCTTCACACAGAACATGCAGCGCTTCCCCTCTCGGTCGGGCAGCACCTGGGAGAGGGCAAGTGGCCCCAGATACGCTGGCTTCACTGGGGTCAGGGCCACACCGGCTGCAGAGACGCTCCAGTTCCAGCCCCTACAGGTCCTCGCTGACCATCCACCCTGGGCACCGCTCCTACTCTGCCAGGAGCCTGGATGGCTTGGCATGGGGGTTAGTTATGGGCGTACTGTGTCCCCATAACTCTTGTAGTCCCCGCTCTTTGGAGGTAGGGCGGGGCCGTTTTCATCTTGGTATCTCTCCATGGGGCCTAGCATGTAGCCCATTACTGAGTGCTTATGCAGATCATTCTTGAACACCTCCTGTGACACGGTCCTCACTATCCAAATCATTCATTTTCACATAGCCCTGCCTGTTGAGAAAGTTCTCCACTCATTCATTCCACAGATATTTTGGAGTGTCTACTGCAGGTGGCTCATTGTTCTAGGCATTTAGGATACCGAGGTGGAGGTGTGCCTAACAGACCGAAATCCCTGCCTCTCCTAAGTCATATTCTAGCGGAAAAAATAACAGCTGCCACATATTGAACTTCTTATGCTCTAGAGGCCGTAGTAGTGCTATATATGCATCATTTTTTTCACACCTCCCAAACAACCTTGCCAGGCAGGCATTATTGGCTCCACTTTACAGAAAAAGAAACTGAGGCTCTCACAGGTCGTGGAGCGTGCCCAATTCACACTGCCTGTTAGTGGTGGGGCTCAGTTTTCTGCCCAGCTCTATGCTCTGTCCTCAGTGACACCTGTTTTCTTACGTGACAAAAAATGGGCAGAGCCTAGGATGATTTTTAAAAATGTAAAACAACAAATGTGGATGAGGATGTAGACAGTGGAACCCACATACACTGCTGGTGAAAATGTAAGGTGGTATGGCTGCTATGGAAAACAATTTGGCTATTCCTTAAAAAGTTAAACAGCATTTCCATATGATCTCGCAATTCTACTCCTCAGTGTGTACCCGGAGAAGTGAAAACATATGCCTACCCAGAAACTTCTGTATGGATGTCCAAACCAGCATTATTCACAACAGCAAAAAGAGGGAAACAACCCGTTGTCCATTAATGAATGAGTAGGTAAACAAAATGTCTGTCTACACAATGGAACATTATTCAGCCATAAAAAGGAGTGAAGTTCTGATCCACACCACAGCATGGATGAACCTTGGAACATTATGCTGAGTAAAAGAAGCCAGTCACAAAGGGACAAATATTATATGATTCCATTCTACTCCAGGTACCTAGAACAGGCAAATTTATGGAGACAGAAAGTAGAAAAGAGGTTAGCAGGGGGTGGGGGAGGGGATGAGTTCTTTTTTAATGGGTAGAGAGTTTCTGTTTGGGATGATGAAAAAGCTTTGGAAATAGTGGTAATGATGACACAACATTGTGGATGTACTTAATGCTATGAACTGTACACTTAAATGGCAAATTTCATGATAGATGTGTAGTTTTTACTACAACTAAAAAAAAGTTTAATGTTTACTTACTTCTGAGAAAGAGTGAGACAAAGAGAGAGAGAGAGAAAACATGAATCGGAGAGGGGCGGAGAGAGAGGGAGACATGGAATCCGAAGCAGGCCCCAGGCTCTGAACTGTCATCACAGAGCCCGACTGGGGGCTTAAACCCACAAACCACGAGATCATGACCTAAGCGGAAATCAAGAATCAGACATTCAACCGACTGACCCACCCAGATGCCCCTCCCCCCCCTTTTTACCACAATTTAAAGAATTGTTTTAAGCCACTAAAATAATAACGGGACAGGGCGCCTGGGTGGCGCAGTCGGTTAAGCGTCCGACTTCAGCCAGGTCACGATCTCGCGGTCCCTGAGTTCGAGCCCCGCGTGGGGCTCTGGGCTGATGGCTCAGAGCCTGGAGCCTGTTTCTGATTCTGTGTCTCCCTCTCTCTCTGCCCCTCCCCCGTTCATGCTCTGTCTCTCTCTGTCCCAAAAAAATAAATAAACGTTAAAAAAAAAATTTTAAAATAATAACGGGACAGAGCCAAGGGAGGGAAAGGAGAGGGATGTGGAGAAAGATGAGGGAGGTATAGAGTTGTCAAAGGGAATGGAATTTGGGGGAAGGAGAAAAACTTTTCAAGAGGATTCCTAGAACATTTTGCTGTGTTGTGTGAGGCATAAGCCATCTCTTCTGAAACCATTAGCAAAATTCACACCTGTGTTCTACCCCTTCACCGTCTCCCTCACCTCCACGCAGCACTGTGCGTCCAGCGGGATGGTACCCCTTTTCTCCTTGCACTCTTCACTCCCAAAATAGCAGAGGCAGCTGGGCTGCAGCTGGAACCAGCGTTCTGTCCAGTTCCTCCTCAGGTGCCCTCGCTTCCACAGGTAGCCCTGCCAGCCAGAGCAGAGTCAGAGGCCTCACCGGCACGCCCCATCCACCCCAGCTGGGGGTCCTCCTCCAGTTCCCAGCTTGGCCTGACCTGCTTCAGGACATCTTGGATGAGTTCCTGATAGACTTCATGGATGGCCATGCTGAGAGTGTCCCGCCCCACACCTCGAAGGCAGCGCCCCGAGTTGAAGAGCTCCAGGAACTGCCAGACGCTGAGCCCTCCGCTGGTCTGGGCTGCCTGGGCTTCCTGGGCCAGCAGCTCTTCCAGCTCACCCAAGCCCACCTCCAAGCTCATGCTGCTGAGCACCTTCTTCAGCAGGTATTCCACCTGGAGGAGAAGGAAAGCCTGGTGGCTGCAGCAGGCAGTGTTGCCTGCGACAATACCAGAGGGTGCCCCCTCTCGCTCCCCAGAGCCTAGACAGGGGTGACCAGGTACAGGGAGTGGGGGACCAGAGGACTAAATGTTGGTGGAAACCAGGGTAGATTTGGGAGGGGATCCTGGAGCCCCAACCTCAATTCAGGCATCCCCTTCCCCTCCCCAACCTCCAGTCCCACGTCCCACTCCTTCATGCTTTAAATTAAAGGCAGGGTGAAGGCCGAGGGCTAGGGGCCAGGCAGAGGCAGCAAATCATAGAACACGTCAGAGGGGGTGCAAGGGCCCTGTCATCCAATACCCTTACTTTGCAGATGACAACACTGAGGCCCAAAGGGGGAAGTGGCTTGTGCTAAATCATACAGCAAGTTGGTGGCAGCAAGAACTCAATTCAGATCTCCTGAATCCCATCTGAGTCCTTATTCCAAGCCCAAGCTCCAACCCAGAGGATCCTTCCCTTATGGGAGGTTAAGGGGATTGGGGGTGGTGGTAAGCAGGGCAGGGACAGGAAACCTGCTACAGAGGAACAGGAAGTAGTGGTTGGGGTACATCCTGCTGCAGTTTGTTCATACATGTTGATCGCAGCAGCAAGCAGCCTTCTGGCCAATGAGGGGCCACCTTGCCCTGACGGGAGTCTGACAGGGGTGCTGAACCAGGTGTAGAGAGACACATGTCCCTTTCCTGCCCCAGCAGCTTCTTGGGAAACTCTCTTGCTCTGGCGGCTCCTGGGTCTCAGCTGGGAGTGGGGGGGGGGGGGGGGGGGGGGGGGGAGGTGTACCAGTTCAGGGATTAGATATTTCCCTCACCCTTCCCACAAACAGAAGCAAGAAGACAAATCTGAGTGCAGTTGGATGTGCCAGGACTTGTAAACACGGAGGATTCCTCCCCTCTACACCTTAAGACCTAAATTGACCCTGGCATCTTCATAGTCACCAAAAGGTCAGGAGAAGGCTGAAAAGATGGGGGAGAGAGGTGGGAAGTGGGTTGGGGGGGGCACCTGAGTTGAGGCCGTAGAGCCTCTACTCCCAGCATACCCTCTCTGGAGCCCTGATTTGGGTTGGCCCTGGCTCTCCCCAAATTACAGAAGACAGGAAGGGAAAAATCTAGAGCCAGAGCCAGATTTGGTTGCCCCACCCCCCTGGGGTAATTGGACAGCTATCCCAGGAAAGTCTCCCTTCCTCTCATATAGTACCCTTCTCAGACTGCTACAGTGCCTTAAATCCTGCCATTTGATCTTAAATGGTTTTCATTTTTAAAAGCCCAGTAAGGTATCAGGCATTTACAGCTCTGTGTAAATAGAATCTGCAGGTCATTTTCCTACTTTGAGGGTTAACAGAGGCTTGAAGTAAGTGTAGTTTTGGTTCTCCCTGGGGGACGGCACAATTATTCTGGTCCGGGCAATTCTAGCATCTGGGGACAGCTGGGGGCAGAGAGGCACCAGCATGGGAAGACCAAGAAGAAGGGGGTTGTGGGAAAGTTGCAGAGATGATTCATGGTTTTGCTGAGGCCTGGCCCCAGTGATTCTGGGGCTGCCATTACCCTCACCTCATCAGGAACCATGATCAGAGGGTACTTGTCCTCAGACAGGAAGTTGAAGAGGCACCAGAGGCGGAAGGCATCCTCATTGGAGAGCATGCTGTTCCCGTTGCTGTCCACCCGATAGTTCTTCTTGGCCGTCAGGGTCCAACACAGCTCATCAAAGTGCTCCTTAACGAAAGCCCCCTCCTCCACCTGCCACCAGGCCTGCATGTCAGCCCAAAGGCCGCCCCATCCTTGCTCTACCACCAAACAAGCCTGCAGCTGCTTTCTTGGGGTCACCTACTCCCCTGCTCCCTACCCTGCCAAGATGGGGCTCTAACTTGAGGAATCCCTGAGCTGCTTACCAGGTAACTCGCTGATTCCACACCTCCCACACCAATCCACACCCACCCAAGTCCCCTCCCAACAGAGAAACACTAGCCCCTCAGCCCAGGGGAAAAAGAAGCGGAGGCCAAGGGAGGATGGACAATCAAGAAGAGAAGAGAGTGACAGCTGGGAGGAGCAGGGGGCACAGCACTGGGGAGGCTGGAGAGCCTTCTGTAAAGGTTACAGCTGGAAATGGGCGGTGAGCCTAGGTAGGAATGGGGTGGAAGTGTGGAGGCTGAGGTGAGGGAGATTGAGGGTGAGTTAAGGGAAGCAGGGAGGGGGACAGGGGGCTGCAGTGTGAAAGAAGGAGCTGGGAGGGTAGGGATGGACAGTGGGGACAGAAGTGGGGGTTTATAGGTGGGAGGAGTTGGGGTGGCAGTGTATTGGGGTGCTGGCCAGACTGGGGAGTGGGGAGAGGTTAGAGGTGCCCCCTCAAGCTAGGCCCCACCTTGTCCAGGATGTACTTGTTGAGGTAAGGCATGTATCCTTGGCTGGACACGGGGCCATCGTCATCGTCCCGGAAGTGCTCCTCCAGAGCCACAGGGTCATGGGGGATGTGCAGGACCGTGTACAGGTTGTGGGACAGCACCTGAGACAGAGTGGCAGTTTGCCTTCCTGTGCCCCAACCAAAACTGGGCCGGAGGACTGTTCCCACCTCCTGGCTTGTCCCCATTCCCATCCTGGCTAAGTCCTCTGCACACATGATGCAATTCAATCATAACTAAAACTTACGTATTTATATAGACAACGGGATACAATTCAGTCATAAAAAAGAAGGAAATCTTGCCATTTGCAACAACGTGGGTGGAACTTGAGGGCACTATGCTAAGTGAAATTAGAGAAAAATATATACCATATGATCTCACTTACATGTGGAATCTAAAAAACAAATAAACACCCCCTCCCCCGTAAGCTCACAGATACAGAAAGCAGACGTGGTTACCAGGGGCAGGGGGTAGGGAGGTAGGTGGAATGCATGAAGGGGGGTCAAAAGGTACAACTTCCAATTATAAAATAAGTTATGAGGATGTAAAGTATAACATGGAGACTATAGTTAATAATACTGCATACATATTTGAAAGTTGCTAAGAGTGGATCTTAAAAATTCTCATTACAAGAAAAAAGTTGTAAAAAAAAAGAAAAGAAAAAAGTTGGGTAAGTATGTATGGTGACAGACGTTAACTAGACATTGTGGTGATCACTTCACAATATATACAAATATCACATCATTATGCTGTATACCTGAAACTAAGGTGTTATATGAAAATTATACTTCAATAAAAAACAAACAAACAAAAAAAGAAACCTAAAACGTATACCCTTACTATGCACTAAGCACACTGAGTGAAGTACTTTACACATAATTCATTTAATCCCCATAACAACTGTTAATATCCCCATTTTACAGATGAGGTGAAAGAGCTGGGCTTCAAACCCACGCAGCCATGTTCTTAGTCACTTCGTTAGGTAGGGATGTCCTCTTTCTACAGACAAGGACACTGAGGCTCAAGGGATTCAATAACTTGGCCAAGGATTCACAGTAAGCAAGAGTCTGGGATTCAAATCCAGCTCTGAAGATCCCAAAGCCCAGGTGCTTCCCAGGATGCTGGGCTATCTATCAGCAGGGAGGTGGCTGTCACACCAGGGCAGAAGCCTCAAATGTCTCATCATTTCCATCAAAGACTCAGTGTTCGGGCTGCAGTGTGCCTAGCTCCGGGAAAGGCAAGTGCAGTTCCAGTCACTGCCCTTCAAAGATGGAAGGGAGCTGGAAAGGGCTCAAAGAAGGGTCACGAAAAATGGTCTGTGACATGTGGAGGAAAAGGCCTAGAAGGGATGGTGGCCATGGTGGTGTGGAGGGGAAACACGGGTTGGTTAACAAACCCATGATATAAGAACAAAGAAGTTGAAGTTTGAACAAAAGCAGGAAAAAATAAAACTGCCTCAGGTAGTTCTCTTATAGCACTTATCACAGTGGTAATGATGAAAATGGTCATTATTGCACACCTACTATGTGGCAGCCACTGTATGAGGTGCTTTCTATACCCCATGTCTAAAATCCACAACTGCGATACACAGATACAATTATCCCCGTTTTTTAGATGAAGGTGCTCAGCCTTGGAGAAGTTGAGAGTAAGTGGCCGAGCTGAGGCTGGAACCAGGTGTGCCTCCCTATTAAAATACTGACCCTGAGACTCTTTCTCCAGGTAGATGGTGAACTCTGGAGGCAATGTTTCTGTTCATTTCTACCACCCAGCCCCTATGTCCTCTTTTGCACACTGAAGGCAGTCAACAAATGCTGTGTTTAAGGGCTGCTTCCACCCACCAACAGTTAAGCTTAGGATTAGGGCCCGAGGCAGGAGCTGGCAACACCCCAGGGATGGTACCATGCCAAGTCTTCACTTCTTTATTCTCTTATGAGAGAAGATGGGACAAAGGATTGACACTTGCCCCCAGTATTCTGCTGGGCCTCAGGCTCGACTTAACAAAGAGGGAAGTTGGAAGACCCAGCAAGAGGGTGTTTCTGTTTTCGCTCATACCTCTCTGGGAAGCCATCCCTGACCCCCACCCCAACCCTGGTTCCCGTGCTCTTCAAATCATCTCATGTGCCATATTTGGTTTTGCTTCCCTTGTTCTAGAGGACATCTTAAGTTTCTTCCTGATGAACTCTGCCTTCTTCTCCCTTATTTGGTAATGGAGCCCTGATTTTTCTTTGAGAAGCACCTCTCCCCCATTCTCAATATCTGTGGTAATTGACCGCGTGCACCCTTGACCGGACCTGGGACAGGGGGTGGGCACATCAGAGTCACGGTGATTGGCTGAAGGAAAGGCACATGACCAAACCTGGGCCAATAAAAATCAGCCCTACGATTTAGGCTTCCTCTAGTGGAAAGAGGTATACTTTGTTAAGCTGTTAGAAGGTAGACACCTTCACCCTCTACCCCTCAGTTTCATTGTCAGTAAAACAATGGGATAGTAACTGTCACCTGGAGAGGCTGTGAGGCTGGAAAGGATTATGGAGAGTGCCAGAGTTAGGTCTGCACAGAGCTCATGTTAGTTCTCTTTCTGCGTAGAAAGTGGAATTAAAACAATTTTTTTCAACGTTTATTTATTTTTGAGAGACAGAGCACGAGCAGGGGAGGGGCAGAGAGAGAGGGAGACACAGAATCCGAAACAGGCTCCATGCTGTCAGCATAGCACCTGGGGCCAGGCTCATGAGAACTGGACCTGAGCCGAAGTTGGACGCTTAACCAACTGAGCCACCCAGGTGCCCCCAAAGTGCAATTTTTTAACCTCACATATGGACATAGATCTTGACTGATATCAGGTACTGAAGAGACTATGAAGAAATGGGGATTTGAATGCTCTACTGTTGAGGTGTGAATTAATCTCTCTGGAGGGCAAGAACCTATCAAACTTAAAATTGGGCATGACCCCCAAATTTCTAATCATCTAACCTATAGATGCTCAAGGGAACAGAGCTACATGTACAAGAATGTTCACTGAAGCATTGTTTATAATATGAGGAATTAGAGACAGCTAGGGTTCTTCAGTAGGGGGACAGGTACACTGTGTCATGGACCTATGTGTGGTTGGAAAGATTTTACCTCTGACACTTGTGTGCTTATGGGCAAGTGGTTTAACATCTCTGAGACCTTATCTCCTCTGTGAGAATAATAAGGGGGCCTACTCCAAAAGGTTTCTTAGGGGTGCCTGGGTGCCCTCAGTCAGTTAAGCATCCGACTCAAGTCATGCTCAGGTCATGATCTCACAGTTCATGAGATGGAGCCCCCACTCCCTGCTGAGTATGGAGCCTGCTTGGGACTCTCTCTCCCCGCTGCTCTCTGCCCCTCCCCCACTAGTGCTCTGTCTCTCTCGCAAAAAATAAACAAATAAATAAATAAACATTAAAAAAAATTCCCAGAGGTGCCTGGGTAGCTAAGTTGGTTAAATGTCTGACTCTTGGTTTTGACTCAGGTCATGATCTCACCGTTTGGTGGGTTCCAGCCCCGCATTGGGCTTTGCGATGGCAGCGTGGAGCCTGCTTTGGATTCTCTGTCTCCCTCTCTCTCTACCCCTCCTGCACTTGCACTATCTCTCTCAAAATAAATTAACATAAATAAATAAACAAATAAGTAAATAAATAAAGTAAATAAAGTAAATAAATACATTTCCAAAGGGTGTTTTGTTTTAGATTGAAGAGGTCAGCATAGCACCTGGTATGGAGCTTATTGTTTAATAAAAGTTGTGTGCTATTTTTATTATTATGCTTTTATGAACACACATGGAAAGATATGCATAATATACTGGTTGGTGAAAAAAAACAAGCTGTAGAGTGGAATGTTTGTAAAATAAATGTGTGCAAAGATTAGGTTGAACCATAGCAAATTGCAGTTTTAATAGGTTGAAACAATAAAATGTCAGCAATTTCATATTGCCCAACCTAATGTGTTTATTTGTATATAGGAAAAATCTAGAAGACTCAGCAGACTGTTAACAGCTATCACCCCACCATCCTTCCCCAGGGAGGGGAGGAACGTTCATCATATTTAACATTACGTTTGTCTTTGAATTTTTTTTAAACCAGTAACATGTTTTACTTGAATAAATTTCATCTTCTCTAAAATTATATTCTTCTACACTCTGAATTCTTTTTTTTAACCAAGAGGATTTGTTTTCATGACAAACATTTAAAGCCACAGAGATAAAAAAACAAAGAGTGCCATTAACCACTAATGCACCCTGTTATTAAGTTGGTCTATAATGACATTTATTTGCTATTCCCTTTTTGTGTGAGCATTTCTGGGTGTTCTACATTCCTTGAGGGCAGCAAGGACTCTAAGCTCAGGCCTGATTCCAGAGTTCAGTACCATGTCCCCCACAAGATAAATGTTTTTGTCTGACTCAAGTCTAACTTACATGCTCCAATGGTTTCCCATTTTTCTCAGAGTAAAATTCCAAGTCCTTCCAGAGGCCTCAGGCCCCATATGACCTGGCCTCCTGCACCTTCTCTGACTTCATTCCTCTTGCTCACTACTCTGCCAGGCACACATTTGCCTCAGGGCCTTTGTACTTGCCATCCCTTCAGCCTGGAACATCCTTCTTCCAGGTGCAGGCATGGCACATACTCTCTTCTCCTTCCGGTCTTTAACTTAGACGTCACCTTCTCAAGACCACCTTATTTAAATCTATAACCCCATCCCCTCTACCCCAACCCCCCACTCTCCATCCCCATTTCTGCTTTATTTACTCTCATGTCATGTATCATCTTCCATCACGTGATACATTTTTACTTATTTTATCATCTGTATTTTCTGACTAGGATGGTAGCACCACCATGGGGGGATTTTTGTCTGTTTTATTCACTGCTGTATCATGGGTCTGGCACATAAGAAACTCAGTAAATATCTGTTGAATGAAATTAAATGCTTCATGGGAAGAAGTGTGAGAAATACAAAGTCAGGCAGACATGTACTGAATCTCTCTGAGCAAATTAACCTCACTGGGACTTAGTTTTTGTACCTCTAAAAACAGCATTCAAAGAGATGCTGTGCAAACCCCCTTCCCACCCCCGGATAGAACCTGCCACACGGCAGTACAGTTATTTGAGCTGTTCCTCACTTCGGTTCATTCGTCCACACTGTCCTCTAAGACATACCTTCCTCACCTGTACCTTTTGCCAGTGGAATCTGAGGGGCCCGGGACAGAGGCTCCAATCCCTGTGAGCCGTCAGGTGTCAGGACCAGAAGCAATTAGGGCTCCAGACACTCAGGGCTCAGGGCTTCTCCCCCAGAGAGCTCGGTAGACCTCAGACTGCCAGGCTTCCTGTGCCTGGGTGCTGGTTGGGGCTAGAGGTGGTGAGAGGGTGTGACCAGGGGAGGGTCAGGCTGGAAAGGAAATGGCAGGGGCGGAGGCCCGAATGCGCAGGAGCTCACTGGGCTGATTTCAATCAATCCTCAGCCCTGGAGGCAAGGACTCTCATTATCCTCCTTTTACAGATGAGGAAATCAAGGCTCAAAGAGGTTAAGCATCTTGCTGGAAGTCTGCCTCTAAAGCCCTACTCTTGATCTCTCTGCTACATTAGCTCTGGCTGAGCATCAGAATCACCTGGGGAGCTGGTGAAACTGAAATACGGTGGGGCCCGCCCAGACTTACTGACTCAGAGTTTCCAGGGGTGGGGTCCAGGTGCCTGTAGTTTTCACAAGCTGCCATTCAGGCTCCCTCACAGAGGACTCTCACAGTCTCACCCCCAACCCAGGCAACCTCTGACCTCTGAGTTGACAGCAACTGACCTTTGAGAGGTTTCATTTACTCACTGTTTCCTGTGGAGGCATGTGGGGAAATGGTTCTCCTCTAGGGGCTTGTGAGTTCCCTAAAAAATCAAGTGTGGGGATGGGGCAGGTGCCAGGGCCCATGGTCTTGCGGTTCCCAGACTTCGCTCGGGAACTCAGATATGAGGGGTTTGGGAACCCATAAGGAGCACCAACTAATGGCTGCAAAGACAGTAAATAATCTCTCTTTCCTATACGGCCTATCGTTTTTTAAGTGTATCTCAGTGTCAGGAGATACTTTTAAATTATATAGGGGCGCCTGGGTGGCGCAGTCGGTTAAGCGTCCGACTTCAGCCAGGTCACGATCTCGCGGTCCGTGAGTTCGAGCCCCGCGTCGGGCTCTGGGCTGATGGCTCAGAGCCTGGAGCCTGTTTCCGATTCTGTGTCTCCCTCTCTCTGCCCCTCCCCCGTTCATGCTCTCTCTCTGTCCCAAAAATAAATAAATGTTGAAAAAAAAAATTAAAAAAATAAATTATATAGATCCTTTAAAGAGTTACAACCAGCAGATAATAAAGTATAACTACTATCAGGAGGGAGGAGCCCTGGGGATTTCAAAAAGGTGAGAATCTCTGAATGAGTTGTGCGCCTTCTGAGAGCAAGAAAGGGCTAGAAGGGGCTGAGGGCAGGCACCAAAGAAAGAGGCTCAGAAAAGGGAAAAGAGAGGCTGCATCAAGGATCAATTTCACCTACTTGATGTACTTTGTCAAAATTTATTTTAGTAGAAAAAAACCCCTTTTTATCTTAGTAATCTAGCTGGATAGCTTGGAGATCCCCAGTTCAACCCACTGGCTTTACAGATGAGAAACTAGAAATTCAGAGATGGGCAGTCACTTGCCCAAGGTCACCTAGCTGGGAAGGAGTTTAGAAGTCCAGGCCTATGTGGCTCTGAGTCAAGTGTTCTGCACACCACGAAATCATCCTCCCTCTGCCCACCATCCTAGGCTGGGGAGACCAGCAGTAGGTAGGGGTCAGAACAAAAAAGCTGAAGATCGCAGCCAGCAGATTCCTGGACTGGAGTTGTTCTTAACCTCCCCTCCACAGAGGAGAAGGCTGCTGTCCCTCTCCTGAGGCAGAGCCTGAAGCTCAGGAGCCTGAAAGACCTAAAAAAGTCAAGTGGGGGGGTGCCTGGATGGCTCAGTCAGTTAAGCGTCTGACTTCAGCTCAGGTCATGATCTCACGGTTCGTGAGTTTGAGCCCCACGTAAGGCTCTGTGCTGACAGCTCAGAGCCTGGAGCCTGCTTCGGATTCTCTTTCTCCCTCTCTCTCTGCCCCTCCCCTGCTCATGCTCTGTCTCTCTCTGTCTCAAAAATAAATAAAACATTAAAAAAATAATAATAATAAAAAGCCCAGTAAGGCCCCAGCTCTTGCCTGTCAAGGGGAAAGGATAGGCCTGCTGCCTCCTGAGATATCATCGAGCCAGAGACTTTCTGCTCCATCCACATCCCCAGTCTCAGGCCCCTCACCCCCAATTCTCAGCTAATCCCCCACTAGGCTCAGAACCAAGGCTGCTCCCCTAGGGAAGAGGAGTCCTCAACTCCTGGTAAATTTTGTGCTCAATCTAAATCCATCCTGGGCAGCAGTGCCATTCATATTGGCTAACTGTACTTTCCTCAACTGGACAAAGGCCATTGTACTTTCTACAAGAATTCAGAGAGAGGAAGACTCATCTGCTCTGTCCTCCAAGTCTTCTCTTCTCCGGAGAAAACAATGCTGACTCCTTGGGTAATTCTCAGAGGGCTTGCTGACAGCCAGTGGCAGCCCTTCTCCCAACACATCAGGGAAGTGGTGACTGTCACAGACAGGCACAGCTTGCTGGGCTGGTTCAGTTCTCTGGCCTGGTCCCAACTGAGGACCCCAAGGCCAGGGACAGTGTTGGTGAGGACAGATTAATCCCAAGATCTTTTCCCTTCTCTCCCAAGTCTTTTCAGGGGTGGGGTTGGCCCCACTGGTATACCTTTCATCTGCTTCTTCCTCTGGCTTCTGACCACTTCTCTATTGCTCCTTTGCCTTTCCGGCATCCCCACCCCCAACACTATCACTACTTCCTCCTCTTCCAGTATCCACCACTATGGTCTTGGGAAAGAACTGCCTTCCCTATCTTTCTCATGTGTGACATGGGCCTTACCACTTCTGCCCCACCCACCACCTGGCCCAAGACTCCTACCACTAGCACAGATTCTCAGAGTGGACGCATTTTCTGTTGAGTGGGGGAGAAATCTACCTTTGATCCTATGTGGCCAAAGCTGCTGGCAGTGGGCTCAATTTGAACTGTGAAGGGATACAGACAGTGGACAGTTCAAGTATGTAAGCTCCTAATATAACCTTCCCTGCAAATACCCAACCAGTGGGGGTGAGGTGTGGGCATCGATCCAGTTGGGAGGCCAAGAAAAGAAGGTTAAGGTAGAAAGCCTTACTGGCTGATAGCCCGGAAAAGGGGGCCTACCTGAGGGCTGTACCTTCCATAGATAGCCTGGAGAGGTTATAGGAGCTATAGGTAATAGAGAGGCAGAAAATGGTATCTTGGAGACAACAAACTATGGAGGTTGGGATTATTTCCATAAAATATTAATGAGAGTGGGAGGTGGATGCAGGGCACGGGTTTTTGCAGGGATGGATTTTGGATGATCTACTTTTCTTCTGTCTGTACTGAAGCCCCTGCTAGATGACATGATCTGCAATAAAATGATTTAAATAGAATGTAAGGAAGAACCTGCCTGTTGAGGAATCCTCCCAGATGATCAAAGGTGGTAACGGACTATCTTTCCTGGGGGTGCCAAGAATCATTTTTTGGATGCTCGTAAGTCTGGCTAAGGGGTAGATTATGGGATAGGACCAGTTTGGCACATCCAAGTTTATTGCATTGAAATTCAGCAAAGTAGGAGGTTGGATTGGGGGTGGGGCATAGTGCCTATCCTGCCCCACTCATCTCTCCCAGGTTTCCAGGCACCTCCTACCTTAATCATTAAGAATGGAGGTTTCCTTGAGGCTACATTCCACCTTTGGGGGTGCCCAGATCGGACACCAGAAATTTAGGGCCTAGCTTCACGCCAGGTACATAGTTGCTCAGTAAACATGTGAATTGAATGAATGGTCCCTTAAGAGAGGTCACAGAGAGCCGAGGCTTACCCTGTTCCTATCTCCCAGTGTTCCCTGGTTTCAGTGGCCTAGGGCCTTGCTTCTTCCCCACTAACTAGGGTGGAGAAGGCCACACTAAGCTAGGACTAGAGGAAGGAAGGAAACTTTTTGATCGCCTAGGAATTGTCTAGGACCAAGTACTGAACCGTACATAGGACAATCACTGATGGAGCTCTTCCTGGGCTCAGATTCCACCCCCTCCCTACCTGAGGTCCCAAGGCCAAAGGGAACAGTTTCCCAACCTGGTGTGTGGGAGGAGGGGAGGATGAGCTGGGCAGCAGCAGAACAGGGTCTTGGTCCTTGCCCCTTCCCAGTGCTGTTGCACCTGGGAGACAAGAGTTCAGAGGAGCTGTTCTCTGCCAAACATGACCAAGTCAGCCTGGTTTGGAACTGGGAGAGGCTCTTTAAGCCACTCTCTCAGCTCCGGGAGGAAGTGACTGACAAGTACTAGCTAACTGTCTCTCTTCAAAACCAGGAGGAAGCAGCAGGAAGGAGTAGGGTGCGTGCCCAAGCTTCACTCTGGGGAGACGTGTGCTCAACACACGGAGTATGGGATGTCGCCTGGCCTGTTGGCCTTCAAAACCTAATGATGCCACCTCCACCCTCCCAAGAGTTGGGGGTGGGGGGCAGGGCTCTGGGCAAAAGCTCTGCACGTACTTCCCTGGGGCCTCAGAACGTGGGCAGCAGGATCTACCAGGCTATGTTGTCCTGCTTACCCAGTACTGTCTCCCCTCCCCAGGCCTGGGCCTCTGGATGGCTGAGTGCCCGGGGAGCAGCACAGCGTTCATGCCTGGCTCCTGGGCTGCAGGGGCTGATGAGGCATGTCTGCCGGCCTCCTCTGGGCCCCGGGTGCCCCTCACCTTGAGCTGGGACTTGGAGACCTTGCCGCTCTTCTCCACGTCCAGTGCGGTGAAAGCGTACCAGATGGACTTAAGCAGCTCCTTGCGCAGGGCCATTGCTGAGGTGCCCGCCCGGCCTAGGGGCGGCTCTGACACCGAGATCCGGTTTCAGGAAATGCAAACGGCTGCAGAGACCGCAGAGGGGCCATGGCGCGGAGCAAGAGCTCCACCTGCCTGCTTGCATGGGGCTCCCCATGCTGGCAGGAACCAGCCTGTTGCTCTTGCAGCGCTCAGTGGCCCCACTCTCTGCGTGGGACCTCGGCACCAGACCCTGGAAGGCCAGAGCCCTGGTTCTGTTCAGTGCAGCTCCCTAGGCGTGAGGCCCTTTAGAAGCCTCCTCAGCCCCACAACCTTCTGGGGCTTCCTGCGCTCCCAGAGGCAGCTTGCTGAGGGGAAAAAGCAAGTCCACCCTCCTGACTATAGAAGGGTGGCATTAGGGGATATCCTGTCTCAATTCCACACTTACCAGACAGGAGGCCTTGGATGAATTATTTAACCTCCTTGAGCAGTTTCCTCATAGTAAAGCAGTAAAAATACCCACCTCACAGAGTTGTAAAGTCTGGGGATGGATGTGAGGCAGAGCAGGCCCTGGATAAAGCACATCTTTTAGGGCCATCTAACATTGTGGTGGTGGGGCTCCTCCCAGGCGGAAGAAAACAAAGGCAACAACACAAAGTTGGCGGAGGAATTGGGCCAGGGCACCTCTCCAGGTCAGGCGGACTTGGCACGTGACTTGTTGCCTCCCCATCCTCTACGCTTAGGCTCTCAAAGGCCTCAGCTCAGAGCACTGCCCACTCTGGGGCCCACTGGCCTTGAAGACCGCAGCATTTCTGAAGCACATGGGGGTGAGCCTTGTGGGGGGG